GGATCCATTTTTGCACAAGGAGTATTTCAACAGAAACTACAATTTCAAAAGGTCAAATATGCCAACAGCTCAAAAATCACCTAATCATCTAATGAAATAAATTTTTATTAAACCAAAGAACATCAGTTTCTTTGATGAGTATAGTATGAGATTGAGAAAATAAATTGATAATCAACAAGGAACAAATAGGCAAACGGACATTGCTGTTGTGCATCAGCAGTGCCTAATAAACCAAAATATCATGCATCCACAGCAACAAATTAAAGTCAAATAAAGTCAAACACCACTGAGACAAATAAAATCCAGTGAAACATTTAAAAATTATTGAGTGCACTTTAAAATATTAACAGAGTAACATGGTCCTTACCACCTCTGAGCAAGTTTAACAATTATGTGCTTAGAGGAAGAGCGTGGCCGCAGAGAACTGAACATGAGAGGAGAAAAAAGACAGGCTCACTCAGCACTTCCTGTGTACTATTCTCAACATCAGCACCAGTTCTAAGATGTGTGCAGATTCCCAGAATTAGGAGTGACAGTCTTCAAAATAAGAAGCTGGGATGGAAGTTATGAGGGTAACTATATGATTTATTACCTGTTTTATTGAGTAGATATGCAAAATGGATCGCTTTAGAAACAGTGTTTTTTTTAAATGTATTTTTAAAATATTGTTGAGAAAAATCCACTTTTTAATAATGTTTCTGATGGGATATGGATGTACCTGGGAAACCAGTTCAGGCCGAGGTGCTCGGTCTTTGAGTACAGGATCCTGTCCTGCAACTCATAAAGTGGTCGCCATGGCAATTCTAAGTCCTCTCTTGAAAGCAGCTCCTTCTTCCTGTAAGACAAATTCATTTAAATGAGATGATTTACTTCACATGGTTTGTTTTTGTCATAGGTGTGGGTGGATATTCAAATCATGAGCTGTTCTGTCACTCTGCGATTACAAATTAGCAATACGAAAGAGATAATGTGCAGTCATAACTGCATTGCTGTGATGTGAAGAACCAATTATTACATGGCTACATAAACAAATTTTTATATTTTAATTATTGTATTATCTTAATTGTAGACTAGATTCTCCTAAAAAAAACAACAGTTAATTACAGTTAATGCAGAAAACACTTGACCAAAAAACTAAAATAATGGTACAATGATATTATAATATTAATGTATATATCATTATTAATCTGCAATGCAAGTTACTTTTTCTAGAAACTATCTAAAATGACTAGCTTCAGTGTATGATTTTGTATATTTGTTAGGGACTTCTAAGCCTCTAGTCATCTGTCAAAATTTCACAAACATATAAATAAAATAATATGTATACAAACAAACAAATACACACACACATATATATTTTTTAATCTTTTTGGCAGGGCTAAAGAGTTTGCAAACTACTACAGAAATACCCTACACTAGTGACATCATCTTTGTGCTTCCAGTGTTGATGTCATCATCATGGGACTAAATGGAGGGCATGTAGGAAGTCCATCTTACTTAAGCAGGGTGATGAGGAGACGGGCGAAGCACTGCATCATACTGATCTCCAGTTTGGGGATGGTGACCAGCTCATACAGCAGCTTGACAAAGTGCACATGGTCCTCTTTGCTGAACTTCCTTCCATACAGTCGCATATATCTGAAGGACAAGAACTCAGTGTTTTTTTTAGTATTAAAATGTTTTAAAACATTATTTAAACTATATTGTGTCTCCATCTGATATTAACAGTTAGGATGGCGAGTTGTATGGTATGAAATATATTGGCAGTTGCCAATTTTAGAACTGACAGTATTATAGTTCAGACCCTGAACTTCCAAATCAATCCTTTCTGTCTGATTAGTGCAGTTATGTTAGATCATGGCATCAACAATGTGCATCTATGAATAAAACAGAGAAAAAGAAGAACAAATTTAAATGGCCCTACAAAGGATTTCCATTTGGATGTGTTTTCAGTTGCAAGGTGAAGACATAAAAGCAACATGTGATACCCAAGTAAATCACTTTAATTAGAAGATTTAGGTCAAGCTGTCAAAGCTTGCTTTCCAATGAAAAGGAAGTTGACTAAGGCTGACCTGGCACAATCAAATAATTTAGGTCAGACCTGGATACCATAGTTCCGTGCTTGGGCTGGCAATGCCAATGGCTTGCCAAGAGGGTTTTGTTGGGATATTCACTGGAATGGCAGTGATAAAGGAAGTCATGTCCTAAACACCCAAGGGCACACAGAGACAAGTCCCAACACAAACACTGGGACATCTCCAAACATGGTCATAGCTTGCATTCTGGGCATAGAAAAAACAAAACAAACAGACAATCTGAAGAGGTACAACACGAGCATTCATTAATACATTTAGTGAGGATGTCTTGGTTTACGCAAACGTCTTGGATAACATTGAAGACATTTTTTCCGTGTATGTTTACTGTTTACAGATGAGTATTGCATCTCATAGTCACACGTAGTCTGACATCAGTGACTGTTTGTGCTTGTTGTGCTCTTAAAATAGCATTGAGGGGCGAAAACATAACCAAGTAATTTTGCAATCGCTGACAAAATATTTGGCTTGTTAAACACCAGTCAATTGCTTACGTTCACTGCAATGAAGACTCAAACCAATAACTCGATCTCAGTCAAAATTTGTATCAAAATATAATGTTGCCAACTTGTATATATCAACATTGGGTTAATCTTAAAAAAAAAAAAAAAAAACCTCGAGGTAATAGGGATTTTATACGCGGTAAAAATACACACGTACTCTTTAAAGCGTTCCAACTGGATTTGTTTGAATGACGCAAGTGAAACTAAATTAGTGACTACGCATGCGCAACACCAGTCAGCGCGCACTCTCCATTAGCGCTCTATTTAAAACGCACTGGAGATATTTTTACCGTAGTCTGCTTTATCCTCTTAAATACGAAGGGGTCATTCGGCGTTCCTGTGACTCTAAATAGAGCTGCCTAGGAACATCACATTTCCTGTTTATGATATTAGGATTAAGGGAATGTATTCATGATTAACAATCATAGACATTCTAGGAACAACCCCAAAATTGGCAGACGAAGCTATCCGGATGAGTTCTGTATAATGTTTGATGAGTTAATGCCTCTTCAATACTTACGTGGAAAGTTTCCTCGTCCAAAACAAGACACCTGGCCATATCTCTCGAAGTTGGACGGCTCTGCCGAGGTTTCCTTTGATCTGTGCCAAAAATTCATTGGACTCTTCGTCTAGTTTGTCCTTGTAAGGCAAAAGTTCGTTGTAAACAATATCTTTTTGCGGCACAAACCCTAAAAATGTGGTTGCTTCTTTTTTCATATTACAATCCCCCAAATGTGGCTCCTCCACTTCGATTATATTAGAGACAGTCATGAACAAAAATATTCCAAACAGTGATGAGCTTCTGAGATGGTAAGAGAAGTAAATTATAAAACCACTATAAATGTCAAAACCATAATACAGTCTTGTTGAAAGACGCTCACTGTCATCACTCATGTCGTTTCTGAACTCTCTAGGATAATGATGACTTCTTTTAAGCAGACTGGCTTGCTGTCATGCATCTTATTTCTATACGAGCGCTCCATGTATCCGTTTCCATTCAGCTGTAACCAGCCAAACACACATGCCGCAGCTCCACCCTCCTCACCCTGCGTCACTTCCACCTAACCATGTCCAAAATAACAGATCCAGGAACAGTTTATTGAGACTTGACACCGGCGAGGAAAGAATGAATCTTACTATGACGAAGGATTAGTCCATGAATAATAATTGTGCCATTCCGAAATTACTTGATAACCTTACTCAGAGCCATCATTTTGTACCAAAATAAAAAAAAAATGAAAAGAAGGAAATATACATAGCAGTGTAGGCCTATAGCCTATAATAATACTTTCAAACAATTCAAATATTTTTTTAAAGACAACAAACCTTGGGGCAACTTTAACAAATCTACATTTGTATAAATAATGCTTACTTGTAATAAAAAATATTTTTGCACAGATTCCAACCTGTTTGTTTTGCATAAAAACAACAAAGAATGTGATATTCGAACAGAATGGTGTAGTCCGGTTCAAAAACGAGTGACTCTTATGAACCGATTATTTTTAGTGAATCAAAAACATAGCGCGCGACAATAGTATGATTCCCCGAAAGAATGACTCATGAGTCGGTTCTTTGTAGTGAATCAAAAACACTTGAATCTGACTCGTTCACTGAACCACAAATCAAGAAAATTTATGTATCATTTGCCATTGCGTATGTTGGTCCGTGAAACTTAAATAAATGGTACTGACTTGTTGTGCATATGAACACGTTCATTTTTAGCTAAGCTAAATTCTTTATACATTTTTTTGTAATCAGTGGAATTTTACATATTGTTAGTAGTAAATTTAATTGATTTCTGATTAGTTTTTGCTTATTTCCCATGATTTCTTATAGCCTAAATAAGATTTTCGTATGAAACTCAAATAAAGATTATGATGAAATCGCATCGTGACCGTCCTATGGGAATGCTACGCTCATGAATATTAATAAGGATATGCTGATGAGACAGTGACCTTCTAAAAGCATTGGTTATTCATATTAAAACTCAAACCTTTACCATAGTAGGATTCGTAAATTAGCATATAGATTATTAAATTAAATACATCGCGCAGTTGACACCTCTAATACTAGACAAGAAAACATATGTATTCTGTGGGGAAATCTATTTATGATTCTGGGTCGGCCAGTTAGCCATGTTGTTAGTAAGCAGGAGCCTAGATTAGTATACGCTGTCACGATTGCTTAGTCATTATGATCAGATATATTTAGTGACATCTGCACCAAAGTGTGATTACTCAAGAGCTCAGTCCATGAGATCTATAATTAAGAGGGTCTCAAAAAGTCCCTCAAAAGGTCAGTAGGTTTATAACAGGGCATGTGAGCCTTGCACATGTGACTGGGCAGTACATTTAGATCTACAGTAGCTATAAAATTCTGCAGATTTGTTTTCATCACAAAGACACTCAAGAGGAATGACATGCTTAGCTGTGAAAAGTCTCCTGTTCCAAAAAGAGTCGACAAAAACCGCAGTATGTCCATTTTTATAATTTTATGTAATTGATTGTACCAGAATATATATATATATATATATATATATATATATAAAAAAGTATTCTT